AGAACCTCACTATGCATCTTTATTTAAAAATCTGGGTCAGTTTCTTCACATTTCTATAATGTGGCTCTCAATACAAGTCTCAATAGGGGCTTAGAAGGGATTTAATTGGCTATTTTTTATAGAGTGTCTGGCACATAGCCTGGTTTACTGTAGCAATAAAAATTAAGTCCTGGCTCTTCATTCCTAGTCCGGCTCCACTTCCACTTCTCAACATGGTTACCCTCATTAAGGATATTTCAGTGCCTAAATCCTGATTGGTGATGGATAGACTCCAGAGTGGCTTCCATCATCCTCATCTCCTGGCATTCATGCTGTTCTTTGATCCCTTCCCCTGAGCATGGGCAGGATGAGAGATTTGCTTTTGACAATTAGAATTTCTTAAAGGTGATGGAATATGCATGGTGTGTGTGATTACATTACATACAGTTGTAACATTGACCTTGCAAGGAGATTCTTTATCCCTTGCTGACTTTGAGGAAGCAAGAGGCCATTTTGGGAAGACACACATGGCAAGTAACTGAGGTCCTGAGTCTGATAGCCTGCAGAATAATGAATGTTGTCTACAAGCACTTTGAAATGGATCCTTCCCCAATTGAGCCTCAGATGAGACCCCAGCCCTGGCTGATACTTTCATTTTAGCTATGTAATGTCCTAAACCATTCCCAGACCCTTGATACACAGAGTCTATGAAATAATGTGTATTGTTTTAAGCTGCTAAATTCTGTCAGTAATTTTGTGCAGCAATAGGTAACTAATACGATGTTTATTTGTGCAAATAATTACATTTTATTTTTTTTTAAAGATTTTATTTATTTATTTGACAGAGAGAGACATAGCAAGAGCAGGAACACAAGCAGGGGGAGTGGGAGAGGAAGAAGCAGGCTTCCTGCGGAGCAGGGAGCCCAATGTGGGACTCGATCCCAGGACCCTGGGATCATGACCTGAGCCGAAGGCAGACACTTAACGACTGAGCCACCCAGGCACCTGCAAATAATTACATTTTTAAAGGAAAAGTGTTTTATAAGGTTGTGAATTCTTTAAATTGTGGAGAAACAAGAGTTTACTGCTTTATTGATGATACTGTTGAAAACATTTCTCAAAGGCAAAGAGGTTAGTTTTTGTCATTGTGTGGGCTAATAGCTGATGCTGAATATACTGGTCTCATAGTTCCCTGTTAAAATTTAAGAGGTTTCAGGTATCTTGTTAGGAACATTTTGCAGTGGTATTTCCACATACTGCAGTTTTGGGGTGTGTGTATGTGTGTGTGTGTTTGGGGGGGGTTAAAAAATGTAACATAAAATCTACCATCTTTACCTTTTTTTTATTTTTTTTTAAAAATTTTATTTATTTATTTCAGAGAGAGAGAATGAGAGATAGAAAGCACGAGAGGGAAGAGGGTCAGAGGGAGAAGCAGACTCCCTGCTGAGCAGGAAGCCCGGTGTGGGACTCGATCCCGGGACTCCAGGATCATGACCTGAGCCAAAGGCAGTCGCTTAACCAACTGAGCCACCCAGGCGCCCCATCTTTACCTTTTTAAAGTGTATAGTTCAGTAGTGTTAAGTATATTCACCATGTTGTGAAACAGAGCTCTGGAACTTTTCCATCTTATAAAACTGAAACTCTGTGGGGTGCCTGGGTGGCTCAGTCGTTAAGCATCTGCCTTCAGCTCAGGTCATGATCCCAGTATCCTGGGATCGAGCTCCACATCCGGCTCCCTGCTCAGCGGGAAGCTGGCTTCTCCCTCTTCCACTCCCCCTGCTTGTGTTCCCTCTCTTGCTATCTCTCTCTCTGTCAAGTAAATAAATAAAATCTTTAAAAAACAAATAAATAAAACTGAAACTCTGCACTCATTCCACAACTCTTCTTTTCCCTAGCCCCAAGTAACCACCATTCTACTTTCTGTCTCTATGGATTTGACTAGTTTAGCTACCCCATATAAGGGGAACCATACAGTATTTGTCTTTTTCTGACTGTCTTATTTCATTTAGCATAATGCCCTCAAAGTTCATCCATGTTGTAGCATGTGATAAGATTTCTTTCCTATTGAAGTCTGAATACAGCTTTTTTATGTTTTTAATTACAAAATATTTCAAGCATAATGAAAAGTATTAAAACACTTTAAAGATTTTTTTATAATAAGAAATGCTAACTACAAACAACCTGAAGCTCTCTGTGACTCAGAAATATATGAAATGGAATAATAGAATACTTTGAGTAAGCACATATTGGTAGAGAAAATAAGTGATTTATTTTTCACATTTCTTGCTAGATAATTCTATAAAGAGTGTTTGGTAGAGACAACAAAAATGTAAAATATCTGAAATACACATTATCACCTATATTTTATTAAGAATTAATTCATACTCTTTCACAAAGTAACTGATAAACCAATAATAAAATAGCTACATCTTTATAATTACATAAAAATACAGTTAAACAGAACACAGAAGAAAGATAATATTTTGGTAATAAGCATATTGGGGTATATAAAGTATTAGGCTTCATTCCTGTTGTTAACTTACACAAATGCAAAATAAACATGAGAAAGAGTAACCATTTTGAAATACCATTCTTATCATACTTAAGAAACATGTTAAGCATAAAGTCAAAATGATCTGATAAATCAATGTCTTATCATTTAGCATACCCATTTATAAATTTTATTCCACTTACAGTTGCAGTAATTTCATGGAGCAAATATAGAAGAGAATTCATCTGGGGTTGCCTGGGTGGCTCAGTTGGTTAAGCAACTGACTCTTGATTTTAGCTCAGGTCATGATCTCAGGGTTGTGAAATCGAGCCCCACATTGGGTTGTGTGCTGGGCATGGAGCTGTGTGCTAGGTGTCTCTCTCCCTCTACCCTCCCCATCGCTCACTCTGTTTCTCTCTTTCTCTCAAAAAAAAAAAAAAAGAAAAAGAAAATTCATCTGCAAACTCTTCTGTTTTCCACATTTCTCTCCTTCCAATTGATCTCCTTTCCCCCTTACTATTCTAAGTTCCTTTCAAATGGAGCCATAGAGAATTATTTTTTCTAGAGGAAATAAGTCACTTCTCAGGATTACTATAGAAATGTACAGATTCAGTTAAAAAAATAGTGTCAAAAGATGATCTTTAGATATATTAGAAGACAAAGAACCCAAATATGAAATCCTTTACTTTATAAGATTACTTAGTTTATTGGCTCAGTTTTTTATTTTGACTTTTTATTTTAGTGTTTTTTCTAATAAAATATATTATGCAGTTTTACACAGACCATCACAAAGCTGAAGAAAGAAAGTCAACTGTTGTCTTAAATTGATTATTATAGTAACTGTTTATAGGTAAGTTCGTTTCTTATGAAAATTTCTTACCATTTTTTAAATGGTCTGTATAGAATTTTAAAATTATTTATGTATTTTAGAGAGAGACAGAGAGAGTATGAGTGGGGGGAGAGGCAGAGGAGCAGGGAGAGGGACAGAATCTCAGGCCGACTTTGCACTGAGTTTGGATTCCGAGGTGGGGCTCGATCCCGCAACCCTGAGATCAGGATCTGAGCTGAAATCAAGAGTCAGACCTTTAACCCACTGTGCCACCCAGGTCCCCCAGTCTGTATAGAATTTTTAGAAATTATTTCAACCATGTCCTAAAGCACTTGGCTCATGATTATACTGATTAACAAAAATACATTTTTTAGAAATAAAATGTGTTACTGGTAGGCAGCTAGCTACATGGCCATTTATATGTTTTTATGTAGGAATTAATGCAAGAGATTTTCTAAGGTGGCCTCCTCTGCACTCTAAGCTTTTACTTTTTGAAAAATGCATAAGTACTTTCCTTTGGAAATTATGTAGCCTACACATATTTTATAAAAATCACAGAATGTGGGAATATGGACAATCTGAGAACATCAGAAACATGATGTTCGATATCATATGGTCTAAAATAGATAAGGCTTCTTCCAGATATCCTGTAGATTGCTCAACAGTCGAATTGCCTTTTTGTCTTCTTCTAATGACAGTCATTCAAAGAACTGTGTTTATTAATTGCGCACTACATGAATAACTCTGTGGCAGGTATTTGAGGAGACTATGAAATCCCTTAAAAAGGGAGACTTCATATTATAAGCCCCTTGAGGTTTTCATAATCTAATACCATGCACTAAGGATATAGTAAATATAACTTGATGTAGAGGGCACTAAAACACATTCCATTTCCTTAGTGTGTGTGCGTGTGCATGTGAATATAATAGAAATAAAAGAAATAACAGGAACTAGGGGATTGTTGGAATGAGATTTGAATGTTATTTTGGAAGAAAGATGCTTTCCAGTTGGGAAAAATAGTAAGCATGTGAACTAGGAGGATGGCAAGCAGTTGCTTGAATATGGAGACATTGGGTATAGGATCTGAAAGCATATGATTGAAAGTTTGAACGTGGTGTTTGAAAAACCAATATAGGCAGAGATAGGACTAAAGTTATACTTCAAGAGAATGTTTTTGTGGTTATGATTCAGATAAACTGCTTGAGGAAGAGGCTTTGGGAAAGGAGGCTGGTACATTGTGGGTTTTAAAAGTGACTAAGACCTGTACCTGGGCTATAGCTGTAAAATTAAATTGAAATTTTCAGATGACCCTCAAGGGGCTATGTCACTCCATTCAACTCAACATCTAAATGCTGTATTTAAAAATCCTTAGGGAAAAGATTTCTAAACATTTGTCTGTTGTCATAGATACTTTAAGACTAAGAAGAAAAAAAAATAATTCAAAGGGAACACGAGATGGCAGCAGTTATATCATATAAAGAGAACAACTGAGGAAAGAAAAACATTTGAAATTATTTTTAAAGTAAAAAATATGTAGCACTTTATTCTTTATGTGGTATATTCCTTTTCATTTCAGAGATTACTCAGTTTATTGGTTTCATGCTTCACAGCACATCTGAGGTTCATTCTGACTGTAGTAAAAATCCTACTCCATTACATGTGATTATTTCCTAAAATAAAGCTGTTGCTGTTTTCTGCAGATTACGGTTCCTCTGTGTTATCTGTGGCAGAAGAGTTCTGGATGGTGCAAAATTGTTTTAAATGTTCCAGCATCGCTTTTTCTTCCTCTTCCAATCTCTCATCCTTCCTCATTTCCCATCTAAAAGAAAAATCACATCTTAGTATTTTTGAACTTCCAAACACTCAGTTATTCAAGGCTCGAATATGTGTAGTCAACACTCAGTTATTCAAGGCTCGAATATGTGTAGTCACTGGTTTACTGAGACATCTATATCTCCTTGTTTATTCTTTTACTGACTCCCTCTTGGGCACCAAATTTCACTGGCACTGCTCCTGCAGAATGGGCCAGAAAAATGCGAGAGGAAAGTAGAGTCAAACCAGTTCCAGTCTAGGGTAAAGTTTTAAAGTATTGTTTTAAATATGTTAATTTTAAAAATTTAGATGCCTTACTAGGATATACATGCATATAAATAAAACCTAGAACTAGCAATTAATAAGCAAATATTTTGCATAGTATTTTTCTCACTGATCAGTATATCGGTGGCTTTAAGTTGCAGAGAGATTTGCCAGGAAGACCTCAGCAGCAAGAAGAATTATCAAGCTAAACTGAACATACCTTAAAGGGAGGTCAGTCTATTCCTAGAAATAGTATCAGCTTTGAAGTAATCGAGTTAAAACGACACAAGAAAAGTAGCAAATTGTTTGCAAAATTCCATAGGGAATTGGCTAAAAAAGAGAGATTAAAGACTCTAAATTGAGTGATTGGGAGATATTTAACGAAGTGTCAGAATATGGAAGTGTATATGAATATAATCTTCAAAGTAAATAGCACAATAACCCAATATGATTAATTTCTCTTTCTCCTTCCTTCCTCATATATGCCACTTCCTCAGGTCTGGCCAGGGCACACATGACCTAGCAATCCAACAGTGAATCATCTACCTATATTTTCTTTGTTTTCCTCACTCCTAATTCTACCAAGCCCCAAGCCATCCACCATGATATACTGTCACAAAAGGATTTTAAATCCAATGTTTTAATCCTAAAAAGCTATATCCTGGAAGACCCTCAGCTCTAAGGGGATAGAATTTCTAACAACAAACAAGGAGTTATTCACTGAATGTCTTCCAGAAACCCACTATTTTATTATAGCCAGAACTCCTGGATCTATCATACCTGAAGAAAGTATATTGAGTTTGGAGTGGGATCTTTCTGGTTTTCTTCACTGAAAAGAAAGCAGGGGCACTGTGTTTTCCAGAACCTCCTATTAGGATCCTTGTTCCCAAACATAGGTTTTCTTGGAGTGTTGAGCTCACTATGCCCTGACCAATCCAGGGAGGTAGTTTATATAAAGAAGGAAGAAAGAGTGGAGAGAAAGAATTATCTGAGAAATTAGACCTGGGTTTAATTTAATTTAATTTAATTTACATTTCTTCAGACTTCTTCATTGTCTGCCTGGGATTCTCCTCATCTCCTAGCCCCAGTCTTGGCTGTATCTAAAAACTGTTATTAATGGTTGTCTTAATTTTTCTATATGTTCCCATATAGTCAGAGTTTTAGGTTATTGGTCATATAGGTTTTAATAACAACTTGAAGGATAAAGAGATTTTTCACAACTACACTGCTTGGTCATGTGACAAGGGGCAATTCTCCTTAGGTCAGTATTTTGAAATTTAAAATTTAGCCCATAAAGTTACCTTCTACTGTTTTCATGGAATTTTAAAGATCAAAAACTGTCACTACCCATTTTATATAGGTGAACTTGGGCATCATTAATTTGCATGTTAAATTGAATTTCTTCCAGGAAAATATTAATAACAGAAAATACTTAGGCATTGTTTTAAACCCTTGACATATCACTCTTTAAATCCATACTAGAAAAGGTGGTTATTCCCATTCTACAGAGGAGTAAACTGAGATACAGAATGTTAATATCACTTGCCCAGGTGTCTTTGGATTGAAATCAGGGACCAGACTCTAGAGTCTGTACTTAGAAATGCAACACTCACCATGTTTTAAAACCATTTACAGTTATCATTAATTAATGTTAAAAGTAGTTTGAGTATTTTATTTCCTGAAAAATGTTGCCCAAATTGGACTATATATTTAAAAAAAAGAATTCTCTAAAATTCATGTAAATACATGAAATCCAAACATGAAAAATTAGTTTTACCTTTTTTATTCCATGGAAAGGTGCTAATATTGTACTGAGTAAATGAATTATTTCATGAATGTCAACAGAAGAAAATATGTAATATGCACATAAATATTTTGATCATTGTCTCTCCTTATGAAAATTGAAAGCACGATCTCTGCTTCATTTAAGTTTCTGTATAATTAATGTAATTTAAATGTATTATATACATAATAGAATCCAAGATAAGGATTTTGAAGCTTCATGTGAATTGTAGGCACCTCACAGTGTAATTGAGCTGTTAGTAATTAATGATATTAAGCAACATAATTTATCTACCACAGCCTTCTTACATTTGCTTTGTGCTTATTAAGAAGAAATCATTTCCTATGAGAAGAAATCATTTCATATGAGAATAAGAAATTTTGACAAAGACAGGAGAAAAAATAATATTACAACTACATTTTCTCTAATAATTTTACTTTATTGAATAAAACATTAGGAATTTGAAATGTATGTTTATTTACCTCAAGCCCTGTTTTATTTCAAATCTATAATTTTTTTTGAAGTACAATTGACATTATATTAGTTTCAGGAGTACAACATACTGGTTTCATATTTATGTACATTACAAAATGATCACCAAGATGACTCTAGTTACCACCTTTCACCATAAAAGACTGTTATTACAATATTGTTGACTATATTTCCTCTGCTGTAAAATACATCCCCATGACTTATTCTATAACTGGAAGGTCGTATCTTAATCTCTTTCAATTATTTTATCAATGTCTGCACTCTCCTCCCCGCTGGCAACCATGTTTGTTCTCTGTATCTATAAGTCTGTTTCTGTCTTGTTCATTTGTTTTGCTTTTTAAGTTCCACGTGTAAGTGAAACCATATGATATTTGTCTTTCTCTGACTTGTTTCACTCAGCATAACATCCTCTAGGTTTGTCCATGTTGTCACAAATGGCAAGAATTCATTTTTTTAATGGCTGAGTAATATTCCATTGTACATATACAATGTATACCACATCTTTACCCATTTGATCTATCTCTGGACCACTTAGGTTGCTTCCTTATTTTGGCTATTGTAAATAATACTGCAGTAAACATAGGGGTGCAGATATCTTTTCAAATTAGTGTTTTTGTTTTTTCCCCGATAATACCCAGAAGTGGAATTGATGGATCATATAGTTCTATCTTAAAATTTTTAAGGAACCTCCATACTGCTCTTCATAGTGACTTCACCAGTTTGCCTTCCCACCAACAGTGCAAGAGGATTCTCTCTCTCTTTTTTTTTTTCCTCTACATTCCTGTCAACATTTTTTTTTTCTGGTCTTTTTGATAGTAGCCGTTTTGACAGGTGTGAGGTGACATCTCATTGTGGTTTTGATTTACATTTCCCTGATGATTAGTGATGTTGAGTATATTTTCATGTGCCTGTTGGCCATCTGTATATGTTTGGAAAAATGTCTATTCAGGTTCTCTGCTCATTTCTTAATCAGAGTTTGCTTTTTTGATAGTGAGTTTTGAGGTTTTTTTTTTTTAATATATTGGAGACATTATTTTCAAATGTCTTCTCCCATTCAGTAGGTTGCCTTCTTGTTCTGTTGGTTTTAGTTTGATGCCATTTTTATTCATTTTTTTAAAGTTTTTTTTAAGGTAATCTCTATACCCCACATGGGGCTCCAATTCACGACCCCAAGATCAAGAGTTGCATGCTCTTGCAACTGAGCCAGCTAGGCGCCCCATATAGTGCCATTTTAAAATTTTTGCTTTTGCTGTCCTTGTCTGAGGAGGCTGATCCAAAGAAAAATACTGCTAAGATAGATGTCAGAGAGCTTACTGCCTATGTTTTCTAGGAGTTTTATGGTTTTATGTCTTACACTTAAGTCTTTTATTCATTTTGGGTTTATTTTTGTATATGGTGTTAGAAAGTGGCCCAATTTCATTGTTTTGCCTGTAGCTGTTCCTGTTTTCCCAGCACCATTTATTGAAGAGATCCTCTTTTCCCCACAGTGTATTCTTATCTCCTTAATCATAGATTAATTGACCATATAAGCATGGCTTAATTTCTGGGATGTCTATTGTTTTCCACTGATTTGTGTGTGTGTGTGTGTGTGTGTGTGTGTGTGTGTTTTGCCAGTACCATACTGTTTTGATTACTAAAGCTCTGTAGTCTAGTTTAAATTAAGTAGCATGGTACCTCCAGATTTATTCTTCTTTCTCAAAATTGCTTTGGCTACTTGGGGTCTTTTGTGGTTACATACAAATTTTAGGATTATTTGTTCTTGTTATGTGAAAAGTGCCTTTGGTATTTTAATAGGGATTGCACTGAATCTTTAGATTGCTTTGGGTAGTATGGACATTTTAACAATATCAGTCCTTCCAATCCATGAGCATGGTGTATCTTTCCATTTATTTATGTTCTTTTCAGTTTCTCTCATCACTATCTTACAGTTTTCAGAGTACAGGTCTTTCACCTCTGTCTAAATTTATTCCTAGGTATTTTACGCTTTTTGATGCAGTTGTATATAGGATTGATTTCTTTTTCTTATAATTTGTTATTAGTGTAGAGAAACAACAGATTTCTGTATATTAATTTTATATCCTGCAACTTTACTGACTCCACTTGTTAATTATAATAGTTTTTTTTAGTGGAGTCTTTCCATTTTTTTATATATAGTGTTAAATCATCTGCCAAGAGTGTCAATTTTGCTTCTTCCTTTCCAATTTTGATGCCTTTTTTTTCCCCTAAATTCTACGGCTAGGACTTCCAATACTATGTTGAATTAAAGTGGCACCCTTGTTTTTTCCTGTACTTAGAGGAAAAGCTTTCAACTTTTTACCATAGATTATTATATTAGCTTTGAATTTATCACATAGGGCCTTTATTATGTTGAGGTACATTCCCTCCATACCCACTTTGTTGAAAGTTTTTATTATAAATGGGTGTTGAATTTTGTCAAATGCTTTTTCTGCAACTATTGAAATGATATG